TAGAAAAAAACTTAAAAATGATTTTCGAAATGCATGGGTATTTAAAATTCGGCACGTCGAATTGTGTAATTGATTCTTTTGGTTTTATGTCTGATTTTATAATGGCACACAATATTATTGTTTGGCAACTCCTTAAAGTCATATTCATATATGTATGTATGTATGTATATGTGCTATAAATATATATATATTACTTATGCTTATAATGTATAGTATATATATATATCTATATATATATATAGATTTATTCCAGACTATGACTAACAAAAAAATTGTAAGCATTATACGATTTTAGTGCACAAACCGTTTAACATTTGAACAACCTTGTTAAATACTTTGTTTTTTTTTGTTTTATCTTACGAATTTATAATAATTTTATACAACTTTGTTTACCATTTGCTTGTCATTATTTCGTCTAGTAAGTGTTATTCCTTAAAGCATGCCCAACACGATCAATCCTAAATGCTAGGGTATTTTTTTTGAATTTGTCGTGCAATATGAGTTCATATTTAATAGCCAAATTGTGATTACTGTATTGCATTTGACTGCGATATTCTGTTTATTGTTATAGCCAACAAAACAAAGGAGGTCTTAATTGAAATGCCGTAAGATGTAAATAACTAACGAGTGGCAAATGTAAAATATTTCTACCAAATCAGAATTTAAATGAAATTAAAATTCAATTAAAATCAATCAAGGCATGCATGCGACAGTCGTCTCTTAAATACATATGCATTTGTGTATGTCTTTGGCTCAGGTGCAACAACAACAGCTTAAACTTGCCACATGGCAACAACCCAAAAGCGGCTGTAATTGAATTTGAGTTTTTGTTGAGCATTTTGTAATCTTGTGTGTCTTTATTTAATTTTTATATTCATCATCATCATCATCATCATCATCATCGTTTGCTGTGGCAGTACACGAGTTGACGATAAGACGATATACAGCTGCAAGTGGCAGCTAGCCAGCTCCCCTCTCCCCCCATCCCCTACACTCACTTGCCCGAGAAACGAGCAAACTTTGTGTATGTGTGTGTGTGTGTGTAATTCACTTTATTATTAGATAAAAAGAACTTAAGTGAATTTTCAAAAAACAAAAATTTTAAATGTGTGTCTGTAAGTATTTCTGTATATGTGTGTGTGTGTGAGAGTGTGTATGTGAGTGTGTGTATGTGTGTGTGTGTGCGTGTGAGTGTTGTACAAGTCAACTTGATTACCATTTGTTTTTTAGCGAACTGTGCAGTAAATGTTATGCGGCTAACTGGTTGCATATAACAAGCGGACAAACACAGCCACAGCATACACACACACACACACACACACACTCGAACACACACACATAAGTTCAACACAACTCGACAGCAAGCGACGCATTCAATTAAACTTCCGCCAAAACATGAAGCTTGCCGCTTGTTGCCATCACATGCCTCACTCCCCCTAACCACTTCCGCTCCTCCCACCCCCCATCCCCGCCCACGTTGCCTATTTGACTGTCATTCAGCTGCTGCTGTTGCTGTTGCTGCTGCTGCTGCTGCTGCTGCTGCTGCTGTTGCTGTTGCCTTAAGGTTATAAAATAAACATGTTGCCACACACAAAATTTAAATAGATACAAGTTTGTGAGCGCATAAAACAATAAACCGCAGTAATTTAACAACAAAAAAAAAGAAGCAAACAACAAAAAAGTGATACTTATGTATGTATGCGTGTGTGTGTGTGTGTGTATACACAGCAAAAAAAAAAAAGAAATAGAACAGAAAAAGTTGAAGACATGATATAAAGTGTTCTTCCTCCCTCTCCCTCTCCCTCTCTTGAAATTAAAATACAATTTAAAAGTATCAAATAGAGCAATTAAGCGGCCTTTTCTTTCACACACACACACACAAATACACACACATACGCACACACATACATTGTATCGAGTGTTGAGCAGAGGCAAACTTCATTACAAACCGGAACAACTTAAGCAAGAGCCTGGCAGGCACAATTATCAAGTACATGTACTAATACAAGTGCAATGCACACACACACACACACACACACACAGATGCATGCTTGTATGTCATAGTATTCGCTCTCTCTGTCTCTCTCGCTCTCTATCTTCCTCCAACACGCAACAAAGATAACAACAGAGGCGCTCATTTACAAGCAGCAAAATGCCAGCAGACAAGCAGCAGCAGCTACAAAAAAGTGTTGCCTACTTTCCAGTAGTAGTTGTTGTTGTTCTTGTTGCTGATGGACGCATTGGTGTTGCCGAAGCGGCTTATAATTTGAAACACTTGTGTCAATGTACAACCACAATACACCCCCCCCTCTCTCCCTCCGCCCACATGCAGCAAAAACGATTGAAGACGAAAACTGGCATGTTTTGGCTGTTTGCTCTTTGCTGTTGCTGTTGTTGTTGTTGTTGTTGTTGCGGTTGTCAGCGTCTTATTATTATCATCATCAGTGGCAGCTTTTGGCGGTTTTTGAATGCGAGAGCATACACACAAACACACACACAAACAAACAGACGTGCACGCATACGTACACACGTAAATACGTATATATGGAATACAAGTGCGAGTGCGAGTTGTTGTTGTTGTTCTTCTTCTTCTTCTTCTTGCTCTTCATCTTTTTCTTGTTCTTGTTCTGCTTGCTGACTAACATAACACACACACATACACAGCTGTGAAAGGGGGTGTGGAGTGTGGAGTTAGTTGCAAGTTTTGTGTTGTCAACGGGCGTCTTCTCCACGAAACAGTAAAATTCACTTTGCCAAAAAGTTTTTATTTCATTAAAAAGTGTGTGCGTGTGTGTGTGTCTGTGTGTATGTGTGTATTTATGTCGCTTACTGGCAGGCAAGTAATTCATCAAACCAAATTCAGTCACCATATATACAAAAGCTCACACACACATACGCACACAGATGCAGGGAAAAACTAACGGACTGACAGCTCAATGAAAGCAAGGCAGTCGCCAATGCTAATGTTGCCTTTGGCTTTATCATGATGCAAGTTGTGGCCGCAACCAAAAACTGGCAGCCAAAGATGTTGGGCCCAGACTGAGACAGACGCCACTCCGCTAACAACTGCATTTTGGCATAAAAAGTTTTTAACCTTTTGCATATGCAACTAATACAAGAAAAAAAATAAAGGAGAACAGAGAAAAACATGGCGAGTGGGCAAAACGGGTAAGCGGGCAAAGCGGGTGAGAGAGCAAGCGGGCAAAACGAGTAAATGGCTCAAGTTGTTGAGGCGTGCTTTTAGCTTGTGTTTGTGCTTGTGTCTCGATGTCAGCTGCAGCTCACAGGCATAATGAAAGCTTCTTCACACACACACACACACACACGTACACTACTTGGAGCTTGGCTGTCCGCTGCGCTGAAAAATGAGCTGCAGCCGGCAGAATCGAAACGGGCAACGCCAGAGAGCTTAAAGCGACTGACAGCAGAGTAAGACAGCCCCATATATATGTATGTGTGTGTGTGTGTGTGTGTGTGTACACGCAAATTATATGCTCGTGTATCTGCGCTGCATAAATATGACATTTCATTTGCATAAATTATGCGTACTTTCCCCTCCTCCATCCCTCTCAGCCCATTTCATCACATCTTCAAGTGTGGCGCAGCATAAAAGTTAGATTTTTGTTTGGGATATTTGTACCAAGAAGTAAGGAAATGATTATTGCCATTCATTATTAACCCTAAACTTCGACCGTTGATTGATGTCAGTCCAAAAAAAAAGAAGAAATCTAGCCAATAAATGAGAAGGAAAGGCAAAAAAAAAGCAAATCAAAAGTTCAACACTTTTATATTAATTGACTCTTTTCTCGGACGTGTCCTTCAGCCTTTCGGCTTTAATATAAATCGAACTAGGAAATTAAATGTTGTACCTCAAAAAATTCAGGTATGGATAGAGCTGTGAAAACAAATGCAATTAGAATGGCAAAAGAAAAGGTTAGCGCTTAAGTATCTATATTCATAGATGTTTGAGACACAAATAAAATTTGAATTATATTAAATCAGTACAAATAAATTGTAGACAAAAGAAATTTAAATTCTTTTACACTTTTTTTTTTTGCCAAAAAATGAATATAATCCATGTAAAAATTCTTTCGTACGTTTTTTTCAATGGAAACATTAATTTATGCTAAGTTTTAATCTTAAATGATTATACATTGTAAACACTCTAAGCTAATATTAACAAGACCATGAATACAGTTTGTAACTATGTATTTAACCCCAATTAATATGAGGCCTTTTTATTTGTATTTTTATTTTTTTTTTACAAAAAAAAAAAAAACATTTAAATTGTGGATTCGATTTGCGAATCGTTTTTATATATTTATATATGCAAGTATACATTATAGCGCACTTATGACATTAAGTTTTGATTTTCAAAAATCAAATCCCAAAATTAGTAGTACACATAATGGAATGGAGCAAAACTAAGTGCTTAATTTATCGCTCTTTCGAGAATTAAGTTACAAATGGCAATTGAGGTTAAAGTTGTGAGTAAACAACTGGAAGTACAGTTGCGTTCTAACGATAATAGCTGAAGATCAGTGTTGTGTAGCGCTAAAAACAAAATTCAAACTCAAACGAATTATTCATTTTATACAAATGACAACAAATAATTAAATAAAAATACAATTAAACTGTATTAGAGTGCAAGGCTGCTTTAATTAGTCATATTAGTCGTTTAACTCCAAACCGTTGTAATTGATTTTTGAGCATTTCAAATTTTCTGTAGTTTAGCGCCACGTTCAGCTAGTTTCATTGAGGCAAATGCAAATCAGTGTAAACTGATTTTCTTTTTTAACATAAACACCTATGTATACATACATGTATATTTATTTGTGTGTGTGTGTGTGTGCGTGTGTCTGTAAATATGCACTTACTTTAAGCTAACGCCTTCTCTGCCTGTCCAAATCTGAGCAATGCGAAAAAAGAAAATCCCATTTGGTTTGTGGGTAATTTGTTAATAAAAGAAACAACTACTGGGTGTGTGTGAGTGTGTGCGAGTGTGTGCGAGTGTGTGTGTATTATAACAGTGTGAATGCTGCAACTAAGCCGGACAAACCCATTAAGAGCGGCTGTCGACAGTGGGACAGCGACAGCCACAGCCACAGTGGAAGCCAGAGCCAGAGCCAGATCCCGAGCCGGAGTTGGAGTTGGAGCCGGAGCCGGAGCTGTTGACTGTGATAGTGATGCTGATAGTGGTGGTTTAGGGAGGCACCGCCGGAGCTCAGTTCGTTGTTGTCCATGGGGCCGCGGACATCGGTGTTGCCCGTGGCGCCGCCAACACCGCCGGCAACGCCGCTGCCACCGTAATAGGTTGGCTTTCGGGTGTTGCCAAATGCCAACTCGATGCCACCAGTGCCGCCCGTGCCACCCGATTGCGTCTGTTGTGTATGATGATGGTGCTGATGGCCACCACCACCACCACCATTAACACCACCGCCAGGCTTATGTGTCGGAGGCTTATTGCCGCTGGTGTAGTAATGGTGAGGCGATAAGGGCGGCATTCCGCCAGCGAACTCGCCGTCATCGAAATCCTCAGCGGAGCCGTAGAGCTCGTCGTCGTCTGGCTGATAGGTGACTTTGACTTGTTGTTTCAGTTTTAAAATGTCATTGGCATCCGTGTCGGCGGCGTTGCCAGTGTTGCCAGCATTGTTGTTGTTATTGTTGCTGTTTCCTTTGCTATTTGATGGACTTTTACGATTTGGTCCCGGGATTTCTGTCGTGGGCGAAAAGGCGGAAATGTAACGGTTACGCCAACGCCAACGCCAACGGGTAACGGTAACGGGTAACGGTAGCAGTAACAGTAATTGAAACAAAAGGTGCCAAAAATACCTTGTGCACTCCGCGACCCCCCAATCCCCAATCCCTACCCACAGCTACACATGTGTGTCACATTTACTATCCATAAAAAAAAATGGAAAGAAACCAGGGATTCGGGATTGGGGCTGGTAGTTGGTAGTTGGGTTGAACTTACCGTATAGCCGGATGCTGCTGTCAACCTCGCCCAGCGAGTTCTTCGCTATGCAACGGTAGGAGCCGACATCGTCCTTCTGAAATTTGCGAACAATCATCGACATTTTGGTCTCGTACATGGATTGGGAGCTTTCCTGTACATGATATTTGCCCGACGACACAATCATTTCACCTGTTGATTAACAAACAAACAAACAACAATCGTTTACAACAAATTGAACAAACATAATTATTATTATTAAATACAGTCCTTGAGCTAGCTTTTTGATTGGCTTTTGATTTATATTTGATTCGAAATAATCAATAGATCACTCATTCTTTTCATTCATATAAATAATATAAGTAATAATGCAAGTTTGTTTTAAGTAATACTTCAAAGCTGGACTTGTTTAAGGGACATTGCATTTTTAAAATAAGTATTTTATTTAAGGTGGCAAAATGTCTTTTAGGCAACTATAATCAGCAATGATTTAGGCATGTAATATCCATGGAGAAGGAGACAACCGGACATTGTAGACTAGGAACTCTCCTAGCTAAACTAGGTATAACCAATAGGGGAATCTGCCGATATTATTACAACGAGGATGAATCCTCAAAGCCTTAGCCTTCCTAGAAAAATATGGCTTTCAAACCGATGAAAATACTTGAATTGGTGCAAGAATCAGGATTAGTGAAGGAGCTATATACCCAATGGATCTAACTTGGACGCAGTAGATGCAGCCTCACAATAATAAAATATATACACTTTCTCTCGCCACTTTTACTCCATCTCTCTCTATGGCTTTCTCCCACCAAAGTTAAAATATTATTATTATTAAAAATAAATCAGCTGAGTTTAAACGGCGGCAAAAGATTCATTTTGTCAGGTATTAAATCGCAACTGGCTGAGAATGCAATTGCATAACGCTTGAGTAAATAGCGGAGTCAATTATAATTTAATTCATTACTGATATTAAAGCCCCTAACAAAAATCAATGGATTGCATATGATTTATGATACGGGGAGCAGCCAGGGCAGGATATGGCAGGGCTGGCGCCAATGCGCAGATTCAGCGCCGATGTGCATAATGCAGACAATAAAATTCCTGGCAAGCGGAAAGTAGCCAAGACAACCACAGCATTAACACCAAGACACACACTCAAACACACACACACACACACGCACACACAGAGACATTTGGATGTATAGAGACACGCAGAGACTGACGCATCATTGAATACAAAGTGGAGCCAGATTTTCGCTTGACATAAATATATATACGCATGTATGTTTATACATATATAGATTAGACGCACCTAGTATAACCTTAACAATGTACAATATTGTATGCTGTACATTGATGGGGCATGTCTCTACTTATGGCCATGCAATACATTTGATGTTTAATGATTGAGAAAACAATTGCAGCAGCCACGTGAAGGATTTGGGATCACTGTGAACGGCGCAAGTGACGAAGTTATTTATAAGGCTACACAATACACAACAACACAGAAACACACACACACACACACACACACACATAAGTGCACCCTTACTAGTATGTATGCTTGCGATATGTTTACAACATCAGCCCTCACTTAATCGTCATTAACACAAAGCCGACATTTGCCTTTGACAACTGTACTTAAAACGAGCCAGCAAAATTGTGTCTGTTCCAGCAGCTGAGAGCCATGGCTGATACTTCTCTGCCTTCTGGTCAGCATGAAGAAACTTAGCACATGACTTTTGAGTCTGTTTAAAGGCTAGTCGCTGTTACGATTCTGCATCGATATTTTTGGCAAGCTAAATTCAGAAAAAATCACCCTATGACTAGACAAATTTTCTGGATTTAAGACAAACAAAATTCTAAATATACGAAAGAGAATTCCTTAAAATTCTAAGGATTTTTCTATATTCAGAAATATAGTTCTTACAAATATTTATTTTAAAATAATTTCTAAAAATAATTGCAAATAAACAATAAAAAATAGAAAAAAAACTCAAAAATAATTTTTTTTTTTTTTAATTTATTTCTTGTTAATAGAAATTATTTCAAAATGGAAATATATGTATCTACGACATCTTAAAATACCAATGCTAAATAATAATAAAACGAACAAAAATGCGTATGTAAGAGAAAGATTATCCAAGAATTAAGAAAGGAAAAATTCTAATTTTTAGTAAGACACAAGATTCCGTTTTAGAGATATGCCAAAAGTATGGAGATTTTCTTAAATTCAGGGCGATTATTTATTTTCTGATTGTAAGTATTCCCATATCCTATATTGCATAGAAACCTATTAGCAAACAGTTGCACATTTCGCAAACGGAAGTTAATTGGACAATGGATTGTTTCCACATTTGACAGCTCCCTCTCTCTCTGCCTGTCATCATTAAATAATATTGGAAATTAAAAGTTTGTGCGCTTAGATGAGTTTCTCAAATTCCAAGTGCCCTAAAAGTGACTTATGCCTCTTAAATGCATTTGTGGTCAATGTAAATTAGAGTCTTGGTAGCCTCTTACTCAGGGATAAGGAGGACTCTGCTGGTTCACTGGACGTGACGATCTGACAATGGACTAATGACAATACATACAATACACATTGTACATATAATGTACTGGTTTATGGCTGGATAGGAATTGTGTATATGACACCACATGTCTATAAAATGTAAAAGTTCAACACACACACACTGAACACACACACTACACACACACACACACTCGCTTACTCACCGGTATCCTTAATCCAGTAGTTAATTGATTTGGGAGAGGCCTCAACGTGACACTCGATTTGAACATCAGTGCCAAGCGGTGCTCCAACTAATTGATTCGGCACTTGTATAACGGGATGAACTAAAAGAGCAGAACAAGAGAAAGAGAGAGAGAGAGGGAAGAGAAAGAGTAAGAGTGAGAGAAAGTCGTTATGCACTCGTTTGTTGCAGCAGGTTTGCAGCACATTATAAAATCATTTTTTAAACGCACCCCATTGCATGCCTCTTACACAAACTTGATATATACATGATACACTTATGCACATATATATATATATATATATATATATATATATATATGTATATGTAACGAGAGCTTTAAGAATTCTGCTTAGCATATAAGTAGTTTAATCCTTCAGTGTAAATCTCAATTTTTATTAGCTAATATATAATACGATCAACTCAAATATTAATTTACAGCTTCGCAAATACACATAACTTACATAAATCAATATATAACACTACTTGTGTACAAATTTAAAATAATTAAACTTCTCTTCAAATTAAAGTAAAAAAATATATAAATAGTATAAATAACAAACGAATTCATAATTGATACATCATTTCATAGACGTTAAAAGCTTCTCGCTCTTAAATAACGAGTTGTATTACTCGCTATTGTCGTTAAAGGACCATCGAATAATCTGTTACTTGGTAGTAGTAGTTAGCCTTCAAATTGAAAGGTTTTGTATTATAAAGATGGTTATAAATATGCACATATACAGAGAGAAGTAGGTAGATATGTGTGTGTGTGTGTGTACATAAGTGGACGTGTATGTGTAGCAATGGGAATAGAAAGCCAATTGGCTGTAGAATAACTTGGTGCGGTCATCAAAATGCAATGCAGATGCTGTGCACGTCTCTCGCTCCCCCTCCTTCTCTCTTTCTCTCTCTCTCTGCTGCCGTCTCTCTCTGTCTCTATGGAGTGGAATGGCAACTCTTTTGTTGCGTGCGTGTGTGCGTGTTTATTATCACTTAGGCAGAGAGATAGAGGGATAGGGACAGAGTGCTGTTGCTGTTACTCTTATTTTCCTCCACACACAGACGGTGCAGACGTGCACCGAGCTATAACCAAAATTGGTGGTTTTGTAAAACTGACAGAGTTGCCACAGGCAGTTGCTTGCAACGTAGCGAACCACACGGTCAACTTCATGTGTGTGAGTGTGCGTGTGTGAGGAAACATTTCTGGACAACTGCATTGATAGTCGATTGCAGTGCAACAGCAGGTTGCAACAATGCTCTCTCTTTCTCCCTCTCTTTCTCTCGACCATGTGCGTGTGCCTGTGAGTGTGTGTGTGTGTTCTTATGTTTTTGCGTACAGCATGTGACAGTTTCGTTGATTCCATGGATTTTAATTGATTTTCATGGACGAGTGCATATGTCTTATCTATCAACTGTCTATTTGCTCAGTTGCTGTGACCATTTAAGCCGAGAGTTCAGTTCTGTGCAAGTTGGGAATAGAACAACCTGTGTGGTGTCTATATATATATATATATATATATATATATATATATATATATATATATATATATATATATATATATATATATTAATTTAATTTCGTTCGATTTAGAAAGCTTCTCTTGCTGCACACCCGCTGAATATTGCAAATTTTCACTGCAAACAATTAAACTCTGTCAAAAGCTTAAAAGCTTACAAGTGCTTAAGAGCTTTCGTGCTCTTACTGCTCGTACCCAAGCCTAATGCACAGTTCTTTTTTTTTGTGCCAGCTGGCAGGCAGGGCCGTTTAGCCAAATTGACATGCACGTGTGTAAGTCACGCACATGACGGCAAAAACTGATATTGCAGCTAAGGCTAAAGCTGAAGTTGAACTTCGCTCGAATTCCGAAAAAAAGAGGCAAAGCAGGAATCCGGCAGACGAGTGACCTCGACTGCGATATACCCTGCACCCAGTTGTTTGTTATAATTCATATCTTATGGCAGGCACAGGCACTTGCTTTTGTATTAATATATTTTATATAATTACGTTCGCATCAATCATTACGCCATCTCTTTCGCACACATGCACGTTCATATTTATATATACAGATAATGCTTCGACTATAACTTGTTTTATCCGATCTTGATGAAATCTGGTCACAACTTTTAGAATTGTTTGATGTCCGATAAGCTTGGAAGCCTCTAGCTCTTATACTCGGTAAGATCAATGTGTTTATACATACGGACGGACATGGCTGTATATCGACTCAGCTGTTGATCCTGACCAAGAGTGTATGTACCTTATGCGGCCAGAGAAGCTTCCTTCTGCCAGTTACATACACTTGCGCAAAACCATTTTACACATTTTCAATGGGTTGAGGGTATACAAAAAAAAAAACCTGTCAGGCAGTCGGCAAGGGTGCCTGTTCAGCTTGACCAAGGGATGTGTGCTGGTTGACTGCGTCTATTTTCAATCTGCATATAGGCACACACACACACGCACACCTCTTCTTTTTGTGGTGTGGGTGTGTGTGTGTCTGTGCGGGAAGGGTGGGGGGGGGGGGGGGGATGTGGACAGGCAATGGGCAGGCAAACACTTTCGCTTGCATTGTACAATTTTGCCATGATTATTCCGAGCATGTGCCCAGTGCCTGGTGCCTGGCTGCCTGGCTGCCTGTATGCATGGTGACTTGGTTGCAGCCACGGCCGCAGTCCTTAAGCCTCGACTACCTGCTGGCTCAGTTGTGGCAAACAAAGCCACAAATATGCACTAATGACGTCGTCGCAATAGCAACAGCAGCACTTGCTGTAACTACAATTACAATTACAATGCATGCACATTCAAATACACTTGCACACAAACACACACAGTCACAGACATAGACACAGTCACAGCCACACAAACACGCATCATGTTTTAGCCTATTGTCCAGCACAAAACCCAATATTGCGAATTTTTCAGCTCATTGACAGCGCCAATAGAGAGCAGTCTGTTTCGCAATGCAATGCAATCGAAATGTGTGTATTCCACACACACACACACACACACACACACACACACACACACGTACACACATGGACAGTCTCTAAGATCCGTTGCTCAGAAATATTTTCAAAATGAAGCAATTGAAAATATTGTGTTGAAGCCATCCGTCCATCTATAAACTGAAATGTTGATTTCTCTCTCTCTCTCTCTCGCTCTCTCTCTCTCTCTGCTGGGCGTACGTGATTTTTGGCGATTTGCCACATTTATTTGCGTTCGATTTGACAAAAGTACAAAATGCGACACGTTGCAATTGCAATACAAATGAATTCGAAATGAAAATGCAGTGCATGCGATCGATTTTTAGCTTTACAAATAAATGTTCTACACATACATGCATATATATGTATATACATTTATATTGCATACGCAGTAGAACAAAAATTCTAAGCAATTATTTCTATTAATGATGAGAAAGTGGTAAATTTGAATAAAGAAACAAAAACCAACATAAAATAATAGAAATTGGGATTTTTCAATTTAAATGATTACTCGAAAAACGATTTAAAGCACAAATTCTGTGATTTCGAACTTCAAAACTCATTGATTCTTTTTTTTTTTTAACGGAAAATGAATATTACCATAAATATTCATGTTGCGTTAGTTGCATTGAATTGCTCAATTATGGTTGATCCCAAATTAAGTTACTGAGCTAGCTTCTGGCAATTAGCGATTCTAAACTTGATTGATAACAGTAACTATAAATTAAATACCAATATATATATATAATATAATATTGAAATACCAAAAAAAAAAATACAAATTTAAAAAGTTAATTATTTATATCTGTCCATTTGTACAAATGTCTTTTTAGCTGGATGAAAGCAAATTTATAATACAATAATAATTGGTAAAGCACAGCGAATTCTTAAGACAGACTCACCTAATTTGTTTTGCTTTGTCATTTGATTTAAAAAGAAAGATTTGATTGAAATTACTAGCTGAGTTTATTGTTCGATTGTACATAACAAAAGTACACCAAATTTAAAGATCGAAGATCCAAAATGAATGCAGAAAAGCTAAAACAAATTTTGGTGCTTTTAGATTTTATGACCTACAAAATATTTGGAAAAATTTAAATCGATTTTAGGAAAACTCAATGTGTTATCAGTGTTATTAAATCGAAAATTTCTTGATTTGCGCTTTAAAAATTATTTCTAAAATTGCATATTTTTTATTTGTATTGTATTTATTGTTAATAGCCTAAATGAGTATTGGAATATCTTGAATTACATGTTCCGATTGTTGCATTTAGCTAACTTAAAAATAATTGAGCAATCGCAAGTTATACGTATATATATAATAATTATTTTTCCGAGTAATAATCAGTATGCTGGCATGTTAATTGTGGCCTAATTGTTTGTTGCGCGTCCCGGTTGTGCCTTCCTGCTGGCTTGTTGCAACAAGCTACGCACCAATTCAACGTCCTTAATTAGCCGTGCAGGAAGGTGCCTAACAAGCCCGGAAGCTGGCACAAATGGCGCGGAAACACGCAAGGGGATATGCACTGTCGGTGTCGATGTCGATGTCGGAGTTGGTGCTACATGCGGAGGCAAGCTGTAAATGCAGCCAGGCTTTATCAGGCAGCTGCAGTGCTTGCAGCACGCTGAACATGGCATGAAGAAGGCCATGCAAATAGCTTGCCAAATGAAGAAAAACTTTGTTTTCACTTACTAAGCCAGTTCCCCAGCAGGGAAGCGGGTGGGGTAGTCAAGAAGAAGAGGCAGTCGCAAAATTTGCCAAACAAATTGTGAGTAAGTTCCTGCAAAAATAGCAACAGGAAAAGCAAACACTCGAAAATGACGTTGCGGGATACGTGGCACGGAGGCAGGTGGCATGTAGAATATGCCATGTGGCATGTGGCATGTGGCATGAGAATGCAATGTAAACTTATGGCAGCAGTTGTGGCAGCAATGGTAAGAGGCGCTTTCCTCAAGTTGATCAAAAAGTTGCTCAACACGACCAGACACAGTTGTTGGACTTTAAATTTTAATAAATATATTGAAGGATTCATGCTGGTCGTGGTCAAAAACACTTATAGGTCACATTAATAAAATGTCAATGTTAAAAAGCGTGATTTTGCCACCTAACGAACACCAGAGAGAGAGAGAGAGAGAGAGAGTAGAGAATGTGGTGACAAGTTTAGTCTTTGCTATTGCTACTGCAGCCAGAGTAACAAAAGAGCAAACAAAGCAAGCTGTAACGGAACGGGGCGGGTAGCAGAGGGGATGGGGATGGCAGGTTGGGATAGGAATTGCGGCGCTGGTGCACACGTTGGCAAACAAGCGCAGTGGAGCTGCTGCTGATGTCGTGATGATTGAGTGAACTGCCACATGCCAGCAGAGCAGTCAGCAGAGCAGCAACACAGTTTTAGCGGAGCCAGCAAACTGAGCCGCTACCCAACGTCGTCGTCATCATCAACTAGGACAGCATGCCGCACGTGCTGCAGACAGGTTGACAAAAAACTGTGGCCCCAACAGCAACAACAACAACAACACAGTGCACAAGGCATCAGGTAATGCCGGGTATCAGTGACTGGATTTAAACGGATTACAACAACGACAACGACAATCGAGTTAGCGCCACACAGTGCCACAAGCTGTTCACTTCCCAACCACCCCTCACTGTCCCTCTCTCTCCCCAATCTCTCTCTCTCTCTCTCTCTCACTCTACACTGCACGAAATTTTGATTCTTAATGGAAACAGTTATAATATTATTGAAATATATTTCTGCTGGCTCCACGACAAGTGATTTTTTTTTGTACTCCAAAATATATTTCGAGTGCTGTTGGGAATCTTAAGATTCAGCGAAAGCAAACAAAAATTAGATATAATATTATTTAAATTTATACAATACAAATTATAGAGAACACATATATTCTTTTTTAATTTATCGCATGTGTGGCACAGGATTTTGTTTCTAAGTTTCCACAATCCATGCAATAAATGTCTAACCATTTAACATTTTTGGCTTTTTCGTTTTAAATATTTAATTCAATTACTCCTTTTCATTTCATATACTTTAATTTGTAATTTTAATTTTAAATTTGTATGTATCAAAATATGTATAAGAATCTTGGTTAAGTGTTTCCTTATTTATTAAACTACATACTACGATATAGTTTAAGTCCCCATTTAAAGCCAACGAAAAATATATTTAAATATATTTTTCTACTTGTTTTGGCACTGCTGTTTTCTCAGTGTATTCTCGGCGCTCTGCTGTTTTATTCTACTCCAAGTTTTGAGTTGCTTTTTTTCCGCAGCATTGCTGAGGGCGCTGTGTGTGTATGTGAGCGTGTGTGTGTGTGTGTGTGTGTGTATGTGTGTGTGTGTGTGTGTGTAGTTGATAACTGTGGCTAAAGCTGGGGGCACGCTGGTGCCAGTACAGTAAACTAGATAAACACCACGACGCTGGCCAGCGCCAAAAGCTGAGAGTTAAGCTCAAAGGATGAGACTGAAGCAGAAATGGCAGCAAAAGGCTGAGCTTTGCCGACCGACCACTGACTAATGATATGTACTCGTTTGTATGTGTGTGTGTGAACTCACAAAAAAAAAAGAAGAAGAAAATAAGGAAAAAAGAAAGTTGACCAACCACAGCACTCTCTAATTAATGCCACCCATCTGGCAGTCGCTTAACCAGCAGCCAGCCAAGAGCGGATTGCGGATTGAGGATTTGATTTACTTACAGTGTATGCTGAGCGAGATGCGCTTTGAAACCGATGGGGGCACCCCATTGGAGGCGATGCACAGATACGAGCCCATCTCATTACGTGAGATTTTTGTCAGCTTGAGCACCTCGCCACGATACGAGGAAACTGTCATCAGATGGATATAGACACATATAGATACAGATAAAGAGAGATGGAGAGTTTGAAATGAATTAAGCGCTCAGTCTCAATGCGGCTGTTAAATAGTTGAATTATTCAGTGAGCAGCATGCATATGCATATGTATGTACATACATACATACATACATACATACATACATGCATACATATGTAAATACATAGGTGTACATACGTACCCAGTGTTTTGGTGCCAGCGTTGTCTTTGAGCACTATTTCGCTGCCATCCTCGCGACGCCAGGTCACAATTGGTTCCGGATATCCGCGAGCGCTGCGCAAAAAAATAAATCAAAAGTAAATACATATGTATATCTAATTAAATATATTTAATTATAACGACTTAAAAAAATAATTTCTGGTGCCGGACATTAAATACTCTTATAGCTCGATTCCACTACCAACATTTGTTGCATGTCTACAGAATGTAAGGTATTTTGGCCGTGCATTTTCCCCACAAGGGAGAACATTCTGCACATTCAAAATTTGTCAAGTATGTTGCTCAATTTTGATAATAAATAAATAAAGAATTTCATAAATGTAAGCTATTTTTTCTAATTTGTTTTACCACCCAAACGTTAACAAGAACACATTAATGACTTCTAATGGAATCGCGAAAAGTTGAGAATGTGAATGCAAGAAAGGTTGGAAATATTAGAATCAGGCCACTATAACTATAACTTTGTGTCCAGCCATATAATGATTAATTACTTTATCAATAAATGCAGCTTTTTCACGATTTGTTATTGGTGATTGTGTATTGATAAATTTGTTTCAAATTGAAAGCACGTAATTAAGTGATACCAATGCGAGTCTGATAACAGCTTAAGTTTGGTATACAATCCCCCATATATATATATATATATATATATATATATATATATATAAGGGGTTTCGTGTAGGAGATAAACAAACAAGAAACAGTCACAGCTATCTCAACTTGCTGATCAAAAGTGGGTATTTCATCACACAGTAATCCTCAGCGCTTGTTTATATAAATACATGTGTATATACATCGTATATCGAAACATGGCGCTCTCTTTAAGGAAGTTTGTTTAATCGCTGCCCCCAAAAATAGGCAATGGAAATTTGGTACAGCAGTGAGTTTTGTACTATTCAACTTAATATGCGGCATTGGTGGCCATTGTGTTCGTGGCTCAAACCGCAAAACTTCTTGTAATGTAGACGACGCAAACGCAACGCTTTTGGCCAGCAGTCGGCGTCTGTGGCTGTGATTGTGAATGGTGCAAGGAGATGCGAGGAGGGCTGGGCTGCTACCAGAATGTTGAATGCATGTTGAGGCAGCAGTTTAACAGCACACCAGACACGGGTGTGGTAAATTTTTATGATGCCGCAAACAGATGCAAAATAGCCAAGCAAAATAAAGTCTTACACACACAGAGAGCGACAGAGATAGAGAGTGTGAGAGAGAGAGAGGGAGAAAGACAGGCAGGCAGACGGACAGATAGTCTGAGACATTTGAGAGTTCGTTTTGCGTGCAAGACAGGAGCAAACACAATGGCGACCGCCTGGGCTCCAGTCAGCAGCAGTTGCTGAGTTGCTAACTTGGCCAAGACTAAACGATTGCCAAGCTGATTGTTTATGCGATTCTCTATGTCTGTATGTGTGCGTGTGGATTTTCTTGTAACATGCTTTTGCATGAAAATAACTGCAAGTCCACACATCAACAATAGACCAAGCCACACTCTCGCAATACATGTTGGTGATCATTGTACTCGAGCGAATGTTGTCCCCTTAACAACCCAAGCAAGACACATGTTTAATTATACAACAGTTTCGTATAATTGCATTGTGTGCAACGCATAAGTTACTTGGTCAATTGTCTTTTAATAAATATTATACAATTCTTACAAATGATCATGTTCATCGATTTGTTAACTTTCCTAAACCAATACTATTATTAATTTGTATACCCTTTTTTCATGACACGATAAAATTATAACATTGGTTATTAAATTAAATACTGTCTACAAGGATATGTAATCATAATACTCTTCGACATACTTAAGATAATCAATATTTCCTGATCGAGATTGGTTTAGAGATAAACTCATCTTTCGATAAATTGTTCCTATGGCAGATATATGATATAATGGTCCGCTTCGGTCCGATCTCCAACCTGTGTACAGGCTTCAGAAAAAGGATGGATTTATACCAAGATTCATCAAGTCTGTTCTGAAACTGAGGGACTTCAGTACATATAAGACTATAAATTCAGCCACTTTTATATATATAAAACATACTTTATGTGGTCGGAGACCTCTTTTCTAATGCGATGCAAGTCTGAGAACAAAATTAAAATACCATCTGCAAATAAAATAAATAAATGTATTTGACATTTTAAAAGGGCAGCCAACAAAACAAGAAGAGCAAGAAAAAACCACTGCACAAAATGAACAAAAGAGAACATTGCAGTCGGAAGTGACCGGCAACGAAATACACTGAAAAATTTTATTTAAAAAAACAACAAGCAATAAAATAAACAGTATTAAAGATATAGGCACTCAATTTATATACTCTAAAAATGTCATTAAGATTGGCCAGGAAACAAACTATTATTATCAATAATTTGATGTTATTTTATTTGTTTTTATTTGATTTGATATACAGGTAGCTTACTAATTTAATTATTTTATTTTGTAATTCCATTTGACATACCAAATTCCTGTACCCCATATATAAATATCCTTTACTCCTTTTGTCTCCCTCTGCCCGTTTCACTAATTTCTCTCAATCTTTTTCTCTGTCTTTAATTTGCCATTTGTAAGCAAAAATTTGGATATATCGATTTTCATATCGATAGCATTTTGCGTGATGTAGATGTGAATGAGATTATAACTGCGGGACTCTCTTTCTTTTATATGTTATGAAAACAAATAAACGCATGTCTTTTTCTATTCAAGTTTGTAGTAGGCTTACAGGAACAGTTTATCACACACCTGCCTCCTTTCACGTTCATACTTAGAATGCTCTTATTGCAATTAAATGTTCAGATTATGTTAATTTGTTTGCATTGTGCTATTTGCTTAATGCTATGAATAATTTGCCTACTACATAAATATATTCAAAGTGCAGATGGCTACTACTAGTGACTGTAGAATAACATCTGTACGTAAAATTAATATCGATATTGATCGATATAAATTGTGTGATTACCAGGTTGAATACGAAGAAGAGATCAATCGTGAAGTGAGCAGATGTGTTTGAGAAATAAATATAACTTAGTCTCGAATGCTAAGAGAAGAAAAGTTTCAACTGAGTACGGATAGTCCAACATACTCTTCCTCGGTTAGAGTATTATAATAACAGAGCCGAGCAATCTGTTCGTCCGGTCAACTTTTGAGGAGCAGCCGTTTTAATTTTGTTTTGTTTGTCGCATGCTTAAAGTCAAATTCATTTAATGTGACTTGCCCTAAGTGGTGTTAAAATGGAAAAAATTGCAGACTATGTCTCTAATAGCCTTCCACATACACACATACACACGCAGAGGAGTAGGAGGTGCGTTTATCGCCCTGGTTCTATCATTCTGCGGTTAAATCGTTAAAATTACTTCGTGGCCGTGGTCAAGTTCATAAATCAACGGCGACCAAATGCGTCGCGTCGAGTTTATGTCGTTGCCGTTGTCGCAGTTAGCTAAAAGGAAAAACCGCTGAAGCCAACAAGAGCTAACCGAACTGATAAGCAATGAGTCAGTGCTCAACCGAAAGGTTCCCTATAATCAGTACTTCCTTAACTGCTTCTATATAACATAGTATGATTTTTAGCCATGATAATCCAGAATATAATAATTAAACTCTTTGGTTTATTTGTTTTTTCTTTTGTTTTTATTTCTTTTCACTTCTATTCCATCGAAAGAGTCTAAAACAATAAATTATGGCCAAATTATTTGAAAACTTTCTGCAAAATGAGATCAACACGAATTTGCTCACAGTGTACGCGTTCTGCAGTCCTTATCAATGTATGTGTGTGTGTGGCAAGTTGTGTATGGTAACTGTAAGACTCGATTTGTGGCAAGGGCATAAGTGAACGCCGACCCAAATCAAGAGAAATGAAGTGTCGCTTAATTTGCTGACATTATTAAATGATGATAATGATGCGGGTGAAGTTGTTCTTGCTTTTTGGTGATGATGGCCATTTGGATGGGATTTTAGCTGGATAAGAGAGCTGAAGCCAGTTAAACGACTCTGCGAATGCAATTGTACGGCTATTAGCTTCTAAATGAACTTACATACATATACGTATACGTATATATTTATATGTATGATAAGAACAAATACATATAAATATATATGTGTGTTATCTATTCTGTTTAAGAGCTGTTGATTGCTTGATATAAGTGTGATCACTCACCGACATGTCAAACGCACTGAACTGCCCTCGGGCACAATCACATCCGATGATGTATCCTCGCTGATAAAGTCCGGTGGTATGACAACATCCAGAAACCCAATCTAGAAATGAATAAATAAACATATGCATAATTATAATATTATTATCGACATTCGATATACAATGATACCGAAGGTGAGACAAAGTGTCAAAATTGGAGTACTACGTCTACTAGAAAGTTAGGAAATCGATAAATTTTCGATTTGAAAGGCAAACTTCAAGGATAGTTTACTAGGAACCTCCTTCAAAGTTCGGTATTTCTTGGCTTCACCTGGCACCTGTTATCAGATGGTATGACTTAGGGGTATCAGAGTATTTAGCAGTCGGCAACGATCGACTTGTTTTAAATTGGCAAAGTGATGTTAAATGCCTTTATCTTTTAATGGTAGCTAATATTTCGCTTAGTGCAAACACTTTAAAAACTACTGCCAAAGTAAGTAGCTTAATATAGGTATACAAATAATAAGGAAACAACGAGAAGAACATCAGCAGGTATAAGACAAAGCATATAAAACAGTCATCAGTAAATGGTAGGATAACGTAGGCGCCTGGCTAAGAAGAAAATTTACTATACACTCAGCGAAAATTTGCTGATTATGCAGACGGTCATAAAGCAGCTGAAAGAACGACGAGGCAAATGTTTTTATGTGCCGAATGGGGGCATCTGACACAAAACACAAACTAAGTAAGTACATACAACATACGTACATAGGTATACATACATACATATGTATGTATTTGTGTACATATGTCTATATATGTGTATACATAACGAAGCAAATGAAATGACGCTAAATAGTTTAGGACTGTGACAGTCTGGAGCAAGAGCAACAGCAGGAGCAGGAGCAGGAGCAGGAGCATGAATAACAAGGACTCTTTACGCAATGACAATGGTAATAGAAAACAAGACGAGGCCAAAAAGGAGAAGAGAGCGGCCCGGGGAAACGATAGCAGAAGACAATTGGGTTTCGGTTGCGTGTGCAGCAACTCTGTGCTATTTTGGTTGCAGTAAGCAAACCCGCTACACACTCCCACCAACCATCAACCACCGACCACCTCGTCCCTCCAACCATCAACCTCCAATTGCCCGTCCCCGTCCACATGCCAGTGCTGTGTGTTGCTGTTGTCCTTGCGAGAAGCGTTAAAGTAAAAATAAAAATTAAGGAAGCATGAAATACATTTTATTGGCGCCATAAACTTCACTTGGCTGGACACATGAGTGTACGTGCTGCCACACGTACACACACACACACACACACACACACACACACACAGAGCACCGTATGTTTATATTTGTGTGTGTGTCTGAGTGTGTGTGTGTGTCTGAGTGTGTGTGTGTATGTCTTTCGCCTTGTTTTCCATAGTTTTCGCTTTCGATTTGCTGCGCTTTCTTTCACTTGCTCGAAATGATGCTCAAGATGTGAGGCGTGTGGCATTGGTGGTGATAAGGGGGGGGGTCGGCAAAGCAAGTCGTAAGTACAAACGGTGGCCTTTTGAGGAAGAAGATGGCTAAATAGAAGGGGCACCACCGAGTATGTTGCATTCCATTCTACTGTTGTCCCTTCAAATGCTGCTTAAAATTTTCCTGGACACTTTGGAAAATTGCTTTCAACGGCGAGCGCATGGAAAATATTTGCAAACATTTTCATTGTCTTCTTAGCTGTGGCATTATTCATTGGGTGTAACCTTTGTGATGCTACTCAACTTAAGTACAGCTCAAATACTATCGATAATACAACACACTCTTCAATACCCTATATGCATAAGAAATATGGTCAGTTTTTGCAGCAGCTGCTATTTATTCTTGCAGTTGCCTGAATCGGTTGGTAACTTCACAATGAGCTTAAAATTACAACTCAGCTACACTCAAAACGAGTTGCATTTTGTTTATTTATAATAAGAATGCTTTCTTAAACAAAGCAAATATATTTTTATTCTCGGATTTGTCATTTGTTGGCAAACATTTATGTTTGTATATTAGTTATGATTTCAGGCCCGTCATATCAATCTATATAATTACTATCAATCGATAATGATTCAGATGTCGTGTATGGACTCACAGCTAACCTGCAAACATATATATGGATGTAATGGAACGACAAATATGGGATCAAAAATCTTACTTTCAATCAAATTTGACAAAACAGGAACCTTTTCTTCAATCTTTGCGACATGTAAATAATTCTGCAGAAGAGAAAGAATTCTAATTCTCAGGTTGTGCTCAGGTTATAACTATATAATCATCTCATCGAGTTGTGGGTATAATTAATTAATTACTAATTGGGCACTCACTTGACTTTTCATTGGATCTGTATTCAGTTGGCACATGTAACCGCCTCGATCCTCCTCAGAAACGGCCTTGATGTGCAGATTCCAAGTGTTCTGATCCAAATGACTGACAGTCACACGTGGATTGTGTGTGATGACGTTCTCGTGTATCGCCTGGATGGCTTTTGTGTCGGCCTTAAGCCAGCCCACCTGTGGAGGCAAGTCACACAAAAAAAAAGAAGGGTGAAAAATGCATTTAATAGTTTTGTTAAGGATTGTGCTTTGTGGCAGAGATTTCGCATGCTTACTGCGTGTGTTATATTTATGTAGTGCTATCATTAATTAAGCTGTGTGTTCTGTGTACTAACAATATGAAGTGTGTGTTTGTGTGTGTGTGTGTGTGTGTGTGTGTGTGTTATACTTACACGATAGCCACCCAAGTGGCGAACGTGACAGGTGAAGGTTGCGTCGCGACCCACAGCGACGGACACATTCGAAATGCTTTCCACGAACTCCGGTTGAAAGGCGCCAATCGCTGTAAATGTGTGCAACGGCCACAAAGAGAGAGTATACAGAAACAGAGAAAGAAATAAAGAGAAGGAGAGAAAGAGAGAGACCAATGAGAGATGAGATTAGAATGCGTCTGTGGTGCACTATGTGGGAACGGTTAGTTGTGTCGAGTTAATGATATCGCAAGCACCGCACGAGCAGCACTACACTCAGAAAAACGTTAGAAATTCTCCATACATTTTATTATTGAGAAAGTAAATTTCGAAAATTAAAGACTGTTGCTTTCTAAAAACCAGGGTTTGCCTTTCTTCTAAAATGGAGAAATGATATGTCCAATTTTTTAGATTCATTTAACTTAATTTGAAACAATGTAGACCCTTTGTTTACGAGTAAACTAAACTAAACTAGATATCAGCTAAACTTTTTTATTTCTTAGATAAAATTTAGAAAGGATAATTTCTACGAATCAGGGCTTTCATTTCTTAATAAACGCCTTTATAATTTCAGAGATATTGTTGCGTAATATTTAGAAATTGTTTCTAACAAAAAGAAAAACTTTCTAATTTGTATGGCGATTTATTTTTTCTGAGTGCAGCACCAGTAACTACAACTGCAACGGCGCCTGCCAAAAGCTCAGTGATTTATCGCTTTTAAATGTGCACGACGCGCTACTTGCCAAGTAGCTGGCAGCCAGCAGCCAGCAGCCAAGAGCCAACTACCAACAAACCCACTAGCAGCTATCAACAGCCAACAGGCAGCAGACACAATCAGGCAAGTGGCAGTCAAGGGTTGGCCCTTTAATGCAACGCGCGAGCTAATTGAAGATCAACACTCATAAGTAAGCGGCGGCCTCAACTTACGGTTACAGCGCGGGGGGGCGGGAGCCAGAGGGGTGTAACATACGCAAATATATTAATAATTTATTGAATCATTGAAAATCAAACATTTCACTTGCAAGTTTTCCAAGAAAAAAAAACAATAAATAAAAAGAAAAAGAACTTTTACAGGCTTGGCCCCATAAAATAGAAAAGGTGGAGCGGGACGAGTGAGAGAGAGTAAGAGAGAGATATATAGAGAGAGAGAGAGAGTGAGAGTGAGAGCGAGAGAGTTGGCAACAGAGTGCCAGACATCCGCGCACGGCTTGCGACGCAGCCGTTGCCGTAGCAAAGTGCCTGCACCAGTCCCCGCCTGCTGCCCCTTGATCCACCGCGACCCCTGCCCTACCCGCATCTTTGGCTTGGTAATGCATGCAAAAAACTTTTGCCAAACTTGAAATTTAAATATTTATAGACAGTGCCGCTGGCAGCGGCAAGTGCGTCGGCCATCCGCATCCTCCACAGTGAGAGCAAGAACCACCCACAGCCACCGCACCACTCAAATGCCAGCGCTTGTATTGTGTCCTGACGGAGAGGGGGGGCGGGACGTTGGACGGGTTTGGCGGTAAGTGGAAGAATGTGCTGAATTGACGCAATTGGCCAAAGGCATGATTTATTTCATACTTTTCCCAATCATTTTTTTCCTCTGCGTTTTTCTTTTCTTTTTTATTGAAAAAAAAAAGACTATCAATTGGGGGACAGTTATGAACTGTTCATTTACATATATGTTTGGTTATATATATATTACGGATATTGTTTTGTTTTCTATTATTCAACCAAAATTAGTTCTACAACACTTTTGCATTGTATCAAAATTTATATAGGAGCCGAAAGGCATACGGCAAACTAATTTTGTGATTTCGTTAGTTGATTTCATTTTAGATCGTAAATTATAAGTTTCTTTTAAAACTAGTTTTGCAAAACTGACTTAAGATTTAGTTCCCTTAGTTAGTTCCATTTACATATTAAATCATCAAATTTCCCTCAGTGTCGCGTTGAGTTAATCCCATCGGCTTTGCATTTCAGCATTTTAAGCAAAATTGCACTTCTCGAATTGTGCTCGTAACGAACCTAAATTAAATGTAATTGAATTCCCAAAAATCATTTAAACTGAATATCAATAGTCAATTAAAATTAAAACTTTTAGCGAGCGGACCCCGCCCAACGGCCATTTAAGAAAAAAGAAGGCCAACCAGACATCACTTAATTTCTAAAATAAATGTTATCCGTCATCATTTATTCCCAAACTTAAACTTTAAAAAAGAAGAAAAAATAAACATGACGTGTTGGACGCTGCTGTTTGAGTCTGTTGGGAGTTTTGTGGTTGCTGCAGAATTTATTTGCATGGGCTTTGTTGCTGTATTTGGTAGAGCTAGAAAGCAAGCGACTGACTGACTGAATGTCTGGCTAAGTTTTTCATTAACATTCAGAGGAGAACAGGACAGGAGACTGAGACGGATACAGAGGGGAAGAGGAAGAGATAGAGGCAGAGGGAGACACAGATTTCGTATCAAAATCAACAACAGCTACAAGTTCAGGCACAAACAAATCTTTACTGCAAGTTGCAGCAGCACACGCAAACTCAGATATGGAGCCGGACAAAAGGACCTGCAGACACAAACGCAGAAGACATCCACATAGACATGCACACACATACAGCCACACACACACACACACACATACTTCCACAGTGACCAAAGCAGCTGCACTCAAATGTAGTTCCTGCTTGGTTGGCTGCGGCTTGTTTGTCAATCTGTTCAACTTGATGCCAAGAACGAGAGGGGCTGCTGCATTGTGCCAACTCCAATGAACTTGTCACCCCGAGGTTGAGGCCCGATTCGTGTCACAATACTTGACTGAACCCAGGGCCCACTGTTGGCTGCCCGCCACCCGCTGCCGACTGCCCACCGTTCCATTTCAGCTGTCCTGCTTCTGAGCACTTTGGATTTTCCGGTCACAAGAATTGAAGTTGCGCCAAGTCGCGCTTGCAGGCAAAGTCAATTAACCCATGCCCATCGGTCAGACTAGCTAACCCCCAGCCACCCCTCCCGAAGCGCTGCATCCCGCTGTTACGTCCAGTCGCATGTTTTTCACATTTTCGCACGTTATCATAAATTTAGGCGTCTCCGCTGGGACTATGACCATGCAGCAGCATCCGCATCCGCATCCGCATCAGCATCGGCTTCATTTCAATTTTCTTAGCCTCCCTTTGGATGTCGCGAAACCATTTTGAAGGTGGATTCTGTGGGTTACGTTGCCCCGGCTAGAGGCTTGTCACTTTGGCGGCACAGGACACGATAGGACAGGACAGGACAGGACAGGACAGGGCCGGGACGGGCTTTGGCTGACGTCCTCAATACGGTACTGTTGGCAATGGCGCCCCAAAAGTTTAAATCACACAACGACAATGAGGATTTACCAAAGCAAATTTATGGTTAAGGACATTGGCAAAAGTTAAGCTTGTATTTGTCAATGTGTGTGCGTGTATGTGAACGTGTGTGTGTGTGTTAATAAAGTGTCTTGTCCTGCGTGTGTTTATATGAGGCAACAAAATATATGGCACGGCACGATATGCCATTGCCCCGCTTCGACCAGCCTTGCCCCACGCTTAGGTAGAGCGAAACCAAACAGATACAAAGATGCCAATCTGCATGGCACCTTTTTTTATGGGGCGCTCACACAAATCCCGACGCCAAAGCGCCAATGATAGGTGATAATGGCAAATTTTTGAGACGGCAACTGGAATAGGCAGCTGCTGAGGCACAGGCTCACTGCCATCGCCGAAAGACAAAAGACGCAACTTGAAGAAACAGCCAGCCCAGCCAGGCACAAGGCATTAAATTGCTGCAGCTGTGAATATATAAAAGGAACATTTCTCGACTGCCAGATATCCAGCATCAACAACGATTCGATACACAGTGAATATTGTATCATTTTTTTGTTGTATATATTTTCTTCTTTTTTTTTGGCTTCGTGAAATATTTGTATATAGAAATGTGTTTGAAATTGACTTATTGTTACTCATTTCGGTAAGTACGATGTAATTATCAAAAACACAAAAATCCGAATCAATGTACCAATAAAAAACCAAAGAAAATTATGAACATTTCGTTGATTTTAGGAAAATCTGTTTTCATCAAACTAACCTTGAAAAGAGAATCGAGCATTCATTTAAATATATCTCAACTCGCAAAACAGCATTTTCCGCACTCCTTATTGACATAGGGTAAAAGTACATAGACATATATATACTTTATATATACATATATATTTTGTATATATATAAAATCAAATAGCCAAGTTAGTCTCTGTTGCCAGTGCTGCTGGGCGTTGAACTACCAAAAGGCAAATAGCAAATAACAAATGATAGCTGCAGCAAGTGGCAGCAAGTGGCTGCCGCGGTTGGTGGCAACTGCGCCTAATGGTCGGCCAACGACTTGGGGAACATTTGCATTTTTTTTTACAAGTCGTCGCCTACAACTTGTAGCACTCGCAATTGAATTTGCACTAGTCAAAAAACGAAAAAACCACACACAGAAAAATTCAATTTAATGTTTTCTTGTTTTTTGTTGATTTTGTTTTTTTTTTTTTTAACTTTTATTTAGTCTTAACAAACGTCTTGCAATTAATTGTGTCTTGATTTTTGTTACACATTTTGAAATGGGTTCGCAGCCCTTTTTTAGTGGGCAGGCATTGCAAATGAGCGACGAGTTGCTTTTAATTGCCAAAGTTTTCAACCCCTTTAAGGAGGGGGGTCCGCTTCAATTTTCCCATGCCGCCATTGAGCTAAATTTAATATTAAACTAACCTATCGAAAATTCGTGTTGAACAAGCCAATTAAATAGCCAATATTACATATTATTTTTCTATTCGATCAAAATGACTCGACTTCTAACTACTTTAATGAGCATACTTTGGGCACACTGCCTGCGTTTAAAACCAATTATTGATTTTGTAAATTTTTTGGGATTTTTTTAAAAATAAAATTGTTAGTTTTATTTATGCTTTAACATTGTACAATTTGTAAGTGCTTTTTGTATGTATATAATTTCTGACAGATTTGAACATTTAGTTAATTTTATTAGGCATTTATAAATTGCATTTGTTACAAAATTTACATTCTTTTTTTTTAAATTAATTTCAATACTTT